CCATGGTTTGGTATAATTTGTTTCACGTTCGAAGCAGCTTCACGTCCGGAGTTCTTTTTGTGTACGGGTGTGCTCCCTTTGAAAAACCTCGGTGACTTCGTTCAGGGAAGTGTGCACCAGAAGTGAGCAATCACCGTCCATATCAGACGTACTTCTCATTTCAAACGGCCACTTTGACACAGCTTCATTCTCTTCTTTTGTTAGTAGAGCGCAAACGTATGTGGGTTTTCTCGGAGAATGTGTACAGGGCTTCTGCCAAGCGAATGTTCTTTCGCTGCAAAAGTCCAGAGATATTACCTCATCGCATATTCTGGCCCAAAACCTAAAAAGAGGAAAATAAGGAGGAGAAAAGTTCCTCAATCACAGATGTCCTGAAACTCGGAGAACTCAGTGAAGCCAGTTTCGTTGCGTCCCACCTTGTCAGCTACATTACTATCGGGTATTTCTGTACGAAAAACGATTGGACTGTTCTAAACAGTGCAGTGAAAAGTATTTTCTGTTTTTCGGAAATAGGAGATTATGCGAGAAAGCAAACTCAGATGATGTCAACTTCTTTCACGTTATGACTGGCACGACTAGAAGCCCGGATTTCGTTAGGGCGTCTTCCAAAATAAATATTGATATTTTTCCATAGAAACTAGCCTTGTTTTCCATGTCTGGTAATAGACGAGCGATTGCGCGTGGTGTACACAGCTTTTTAAACCGAAGTTTCTGCTGAATGGGAAAAACTAGACGCATTCTTAGTTCTTGTTGTGGAAACAGAGTAGAAGAACGAGGGGAACTTGCTATTGTTTCATGTGTTCTGACGACACTGCAAGACCGCTTAAGCTTTGCCTAACTACCTTCTCGTTTTCGCTATCATGTGTTAATCGTGTTTATCAAGTCTTACAGTTCGAACGAATTACACTGAAGGCTAATATATGCCACTTTTCAGGTACAATGCGTAAGTTGTGTCCACTCATGGGGCCGAAGATGTCGGCATTTTGGTAAGTTTTTTAAACCTCTTTTATGTTCTTGTTCCTAGTCGCTTTCGATAGAAAATCATATATTGAAAGTGTTTTTCAGCATGGTGATGTCTGTGTGGGGTGTGATATTCCTAGGCCTGTTGGGAGTATTCTTCTATGTTCAAGCCGTGACGCTTTTCCCTGATCTTCATTTCTCTGAGGAGACCAAAGATGGGCATATTGGACCGTCTGTTGAGTAAGTTCTAATTCTCTGATTTAATAAAAAAGTGAACTGCCCGATTGCTTTATCCTTCTCGGCTATCCTAGTTTCTACTCAACCTCTACTAACCTGAATGCTGAAGTGCATCTTTTTCCTTGTCCATAATCTAGGTATAACCCACGTGATAGTACTTGAAATTTTATTATGGGTTGTAAGAGCGGCTGAAAAGTGCTTTGGTACTACCAACTGCTTGTGTGGGTTTCGCTCAAGCCCCGGCTTACATTAGGATAGAGAAGGCTTTTCCTTGGCATCGCTCCGGAATAACTGGTTTTTGCACTGAGCTTTCTTTTTTTTCTGGTTCTCACATTTTTCTTGCTTG